CGCACACGCAGGCATTCAACACCCCGAGTAACCGATTGTAACCGATGATCGATTACGAAATTACAGCCGATTGACAACACTAGCTATAACTGCATAAAATAATGGTGTTTTGAATGTTGGTGTAATCAGTGATATTTTCGCTGTCAGGTGAGACTATATTCAGCTATATTTAGTTTTTCTGAGCAAAATTCTCGCAATGATCGTTTTAACACAGCTCCTCGAGCCAGACGGGGCGGGTCCGCGCACGCGCACCTCTGCGCATTTTTGACTTTCCGCCGTACTCTTCGGCCCCCCGTGTCGCACGCATGCTGTACGTAATACGTGAAACGATGAATTGGCAATCTAGTCACGGCGTGACGCATAATGAGAACGCGAGGTGAATAAGCTGCTGCGGTAGACAACATAAAACTCCGATCGAAACAAGAATTACGACACGACACGCCACGACGCTATTCCATGCAGTTAACTTAACACTCACGTATCGTCTCGTTCTCCCTCCCCTCTATCCCTCCCTTGCTCTCGCTCTTGCTCTCTCTTACTCCCCCCTCTCTCTCTCTTTACCTCTATCTTTATCTAACTCCCTCTTTCTATCCACCCCTTCTCTCGCTCGCTCTCTGTGCGTGTATGTGCCCGCGTGCGTACGTCTGTATGTGCGTCTGCTTGTCTCTCGCTCTCTCTCTCTCTCTTTCTCCCCCTCTCTCTACAACACTAAGTGACACCTACACTGTACGATCTTGTACTTACCAGAATAATAAAGTGACGCCCCTAACCCTAATTAAATATACAACGAAATCACACGCACACAGTGAATGATAATACCGCGTGCTATTACCACGTTACGACCACCGCAAACTATACCCGACCTTCTCCTTCTCCTTATGCCTCCCCCGAATGAAATCTAGAATTAACTAATAAGACGGCGTGGGAGGATTTCTATGGGAATTTGCGTGAGTTTGTATGCATACTCCACTTCTGACGAAATCGCTAATTCCGCGAATGGCGGTCGGCTCAAAATATTAGGTCAACCCCTTCTTTCGAGATCGCCTCCTCCGTCGTGTAACTATAACTCTACAGCTAAACGCTGTATAACTCCGCCGCTATACAAGCCCGTGGTCCAAATACGCTGGAACAAATAGGTCAGGCTTTCGGCCCGTTCGTCCGTGCGCCATCTCAAAACGCACGCATACGTCGTTAATGCAATAATAAAACCGACGCAGACGACGGCTGAATCCTAATAGGAGGCCGACCGCCGCATCAGCGTAATCCGCGCGGGACTCACACGATTTACGGCAGGGGCGAGCGAACACCGTGGTATGTCACGCACGCACGCATGTACGCATGCACGTACGCATGCACGCACGCCGCGCTCAACCCTCGCTAACTGAAATTCGCACGTTAATTCCAGCCTAGACGAGCCCGCCCTCCTGCACGCACTCACACACGCAGGCAGGCACGTACGTACGCACGCACGCAGGCACAGACGCACGTACGCCCGTCCTCCCGCATGCACGCACGCAGGCGCGCACGTACGCTCGCTCGCACGCACGCACGCACGCACGCACGCACGCACGCACGCACGCCTGCTACACTACCGGCGCTGCGCGTCGAGAACCAATTTCCACGTGTTCTTAAATCGCCCCCTGGGGGCACGCGCGATCGACGACTTTTATATGAACCTTGAAACATCTCGCTACGTATGCTATGATGTTGGGAGAGAGATCGGCGCGCAGTAAACCTGGCGCCGCAGCCGCTCAGGCCATTCCCACACAACGGCTGCATTGAGACGACAACTTCCTATAGCAGCAAGCGCTTCCCTACGTACTGTGTGACTGATACTGTGCAGCTCTGCTGGGATAATAAACCGCGACAAAGGGCTGTAGCGCGAGCCGTGCATGCTGATGTTTTCCTAGAAAATCAGCAAGGAGCAATTATTGCTGCTACTGCTGCTTCTGCTGCTGTGCCCTCTGGACGACGCGCGCCGCGGAGAACGCTCGCCGCAGGTCGGCCATGAGCCGGTGCGGCGCCTCGCCGAACGGGTGTGCCTCCTGGCGAACCTGCGCGAGGCAGGCGGAGTAGTCGCGCGAGAACGGCGCCAGCTTCGGGTTGATCGTGTGGTGGAAGACAAGCGGAAACAGCGCGTCGAACAGCGAGTTCACGCTGTCGCGAAGGTCGACGTCGGGGTCGGCGGCGGCCGGGTCGGCGCGGACATACTTCTCAAGGTCGAGGAAGAAGTCGCCGACGGGCGCGCGCGCCTGAGCCGCCATGCCACGGTAGACGTCAGCGAAGAGGATGTTCGTGTTGTTCTCGGCCTTCTTGATCATCCGCATGAACGACGCTGCAAACGAGAGAGAGAAGCGCGGGTGAACGACGGTGAGTGAACGCCGGCGGGTGAACAATGGTGAGTGAACAACAGTGCATAAACAATGGTGAGTGAATGATGGTGGATGAACAATGGTGGTTGAACAATGGTTGGTGAGCAATAGTGGGTGGACAAACGACTAGGAATAAATGACGTGCGATTCAGAGAATGTCAATAAACAATATCATATGACAATTACAAGGGGTTGATGTGAAGCATCATCATTGAACAACAACAAATGAAACTGAACTACTCACAAACTGTTAAAAATGTAAGCAAATATTCACTTAGAGATGTAAAACAAAGTCCTGGGACAGCCAAACAAGCGCCTCAAATTTTATGAAGAATAAAATTAAATCCTCGACCCTTTTTCTCTGAAAAAGACATGCCCAAAGAGTAAGAAAACCATACGCAGAGCTGCAGAGCTTAAAATTCTTACATAAGCCCCTGCACTACAGCTGAAGGGGTCGTTGTCGTATCAGGTACTACAGATATGTACCCGAGGTACACATATGTATACACAAAGTGTACCAGACTTGTACTACAGAAGTGTACCCTAACCATACCCCTAAACCTTAGCCCTAACCCTAACACTAACCCTAAACATACCTCATATAAAAATATAAACATAATACTAAACAACCTAAAACTACCTCGGGTACATATCTGTAGTACCTGATACGACAACGACCCCACCTGCTGCACTACACCGAAAAACAGTCAGTGCGCAATGAATAGTGAGGGAACGAAGAACGGTGAAACAAACTCGAGTGAACCTCGATGGCAGAAGTCACGCGAGACGGCTGCATGCGAACCAAGAAATCAACTGAATAAATGATGGCGGTAATACTTGGGCGGTCATAATAGAATCTTAACTGCATTTGTGAAATACGATTATTTCACACATCGCGTGACTGTCCATGAATATTAATGAAGACGCATTGCGCGCACGCACGCACGTACTCACGCTCGCACGCACGCACGTACTCACGCTCGCACGCAATCACGCACGCACGTACTCACGCACGCACGCATCAACGCACGCACGTACTCACGCACGCACGCAATCACGCACGCACGACGCCGACAACAAAGAAAAGAATCGCAGTGTGCGGATACGCGGGACACGCATGGCAATCTCTCTCTCTAAAGTATTGCTGGTAACAGAATTAGCAAACAATCCACCGGGGGGCGGATCCAGACATACAACCAACCTTCTTCCTCCAAAACGCAATTTATTAATTTTCTTATAAGTTGTATGTTTCGCTGGTCAGTGTTCCCTCGCATATCACTTTCTTAGCGCCCCGCTCGACTGATACGCCTAGGATATATAATCAGCTGTCGCATCGCTTTACAGCAGTTGTTTCACGATACAGTATGCGCAGATTTAACTAAGGAACAAACTTACCTACATGTCCATGTTCGTTTGTGCTTTATCAACCGACGCGGAATTACGAAGGAATATACGTGTGCTGCATTCACAAAAGTTTTCTCGTCTTTGAACAGGAATTTAATAGTTTACAACACAGCAAGATCTGTTCAAATCGCAGTCGCGTTCTCTGCTTGAACACATGTTTGTTTTATATTAAATAAGGCTTGTAGAGGATTTTTTCCACAAGTAAAATATTGCTTTGTTAATTTACTTGGTATTTTCTTCATCTCAGGCCACGCACACATGGGCACGCACGCAACGCACGCACGCCGCACGCCACGCACGCATCGCACGCAGCACGACACGTCTACGGTGCGGCGGGTGAGAGAGAGGAGGAAGGGAGCAGGATGGAGGAAAGAGAGAGAGAGACGAGAATCTTAGCGATCGCTGAGTAGAGCAGAGAAGATCGAGAGAGACGAGAGAGAAGGAGAGAGAGTAAGAGAGAAGGAGATAGAGAGGAGAGATAAGTACGAAGAAGGAGACGAAGAGAGAAGGAGAGAGAGATCGAGAGGAGACTAGCAGAGATAGAGAGAGAAGAGAAGAGAGAGAGAAGAGGAGAAGATTGAGAGAGGAGAGAGCAGGTCCGTTGCATTATAAGATCACCGTATACGCAGGCATCTTAGAGTTGAATATCGGCGACTCAGTGAAAACATTACGCACCTCCATCGTTCGTAAAAACAGCTCGCCATCATACACTCTTTTTATCCCGCGTGTTAAATTCAAACGCGCACTTCCTCATACGAGTAACGCGTACAATCGCAGCAGTCTAAACTGTGGATCTATGTGGATGTATCTTCTGTTTCATAATTCGCATTCAAATTCATTCTGGTGAAGTCGATATGATTCTTACGAGTGCATCATTTCGAGCGTGATCATGATTCGATGCATCATATCGATTCAGAATCGATCATTCGATCTCACGAACTCGAATCTATTCGCATTCACGCCCATCGAAGTCATGCGATGCATCATGCGATGCGTGATCGTAGTATTCGATGCGTGTATCGATATGATTCGTATGCGTGAATCGAATGATGATCGAATTCATGTACGATGTCTACGCATTGAATTCATTTCGATTCACCATATCGAATCATTCGATTAACGGCATCGAATGAGCATCGAATGTTCGAATTTGCCGTATCGAATGATTCCGATTGCGGGATCGAATGATTCGATGCGTGAAATCGATTGTTCGGATGCGCGTTGAACGAACTGACGTGCTCGAATCATTCGAATTTAGCGCATCGAATCATTCGATTCACGCATCGAATGTGACTCGAATGATTCATGAGTGGAATCGAATGATTCGATGCCGTGCATCGAATGATTCGATGCGTGAATCGAATGTTCGATGCAGGGAATCGAATGATTTATCGTGAATCGATAATGATTCGTATGCCGCGTTGAATGAATGATTCGATGTCGGAATCGATTATTCGAAATGCATCATATCGTTTCACGCATTCGCATCATTCAATTCATCTGCAGTCGACATTCATTCGATTGCACGCAAATAGAATTCTATTCATTCACGCATGAATGATGCTCGGAATGATTCAATGCGTGATGAATAATTCGATGCAGTGAAAATCGAATGACATTCGATGCGCGAATCGAATGATGTCGATCATCATTCGATATCACACATTCGATGGTCGTATTTCACGCATCGAAATCATTCGACTTACGACATACAATTCAATTCGTTACGCATCGAATCATTCGATGAATCATTCGGATGCGTGCATAATCGAATGATTCGTGCATGTGCGAATCTAATGATTACATGCGTATCATTTCGATATCACGATCGCAATCATTCGCATGCACGCATCGAATCATTCGATATCAGCATCGCATCATTCGATTCACGATCGACAATCATTCGATTCACGATCGAATATTTAACGCATTCGCAATTCGAATCATTCTCATGATCATTCGTAGTGCGTGAAATCGAATGTTTCGATGCCGTGAATCGATATGATTCGATCGTTGAATCGAAATGATATCGATATGCGTTGAATCCGATGATTCGATGCATCATTCGATTCACGACAATCGAATCATTCGATTACGCATCGAATCATTCGATTCCGCATCAATGACATGCATCGAATTATTCGATTGAGTTGAATCGAATGAATTCGACTGCGGCTGAACGCAATATTACGAATGACGCCTGAGATCGACATGATCTCGATGCGTGATCGAATGATTCGATGCGTGAATGAATGATGGCATCGAATCTATATCGATTCGCCGATTGCGAATATTTCCGATTCCGCATCGAATGATTGCATCGAATGACTTCGATGCGTGAATCGAATGAGTTCGATGCCGTGAATCGAATGATTTCGAATGGTGAATCGAATGATTCGTATGCGTGAATCGAACTGATTCGATGCGTTGAATGAATAGATGTAAGTCGATAATCTTCGATTCGCGATCGATCTATCCGATTCTGCATCAGAATCATTCGATTCACGATCGATCATTCGTATTCACGACATCGATATCATCTCGTCGCGATCATTTTCGATGGTGATTCGAATGATTCTATGCAGCGAATTCGAATGATATCGACATGCATCATTCGATTCAAGCTATCGAATCATTGATTCCGACCATGATCATTCGATTCACGCCTCGAATCATTTCTATTCTCGCATCGAATGTTATAGCATCGAATTGATTTCGGATGCGTGAATCGAATGATTCGATGCGTGAATCGTATGATTCGATGCTGCGATCGAATGATTCGATCGCATCATTACGATTCAACGCATCGAATTCTATTCGATTCACGTATCTATCATTTGAATTCACGCAGCGATCATTCGATTCACGCAAGTCGATCTTGATTCACGCACTCGAATCATTCGATTCAGCATCGAATCATTCGATTACGCATCGAATTCATTCGATGCATTCATTCGATGCGTGAATGAATGATTCGATGCGCGAATACGATGATTCAATGCATATTCGATTCACGCCATCGAATCATTCGATTACGCAATCGGATCATTCGTTCCGCATCGAATCATTCAGATTCACGATCGAATCTTCGCCATTCCGCATTCGAACTTAGATTTCAAGAATCGAATCATTCGTTTCACAGCCCATCGAATCATTTCGATTCACGCATCGAATCATTCGATTGTATCATCGATGCCGTGATCGATATGGATTCGTATAGCGCGATTCGAATGATTCGATAGCGTGTATCGAATGCATCGATGTCATCATTCGATTCACGGCGCAAATTCGATTACAACGCATCGATAATCATTCGATTCAGATCGAAGGATCGAATGATTCGAGCCGCGTGAATCAATGATTCGCTGCGGTGAAATCAATAATATGCGGCGATAAATCGAATTTATATGTGATAATCGAATGTTATTATGTGTATAAGTCGAATGTTATATGCGACTAAAATCACATAAAACAAATCGAAATATATTGAACAAACAATGCCATAGTGACACACTAGCGATTGTTTCATGCGAATCGAGACGGCGGCTCAGCTTTCGGC